CCTCTACCTGGTACCTTCCTACTCTCTCTCTCTCCCTACCTATCTACCGTATTTCTCTCTCTCTCTCTCTCTCTCTCTCCCTCTCCCTCTCCCTCTCCCTCTCTCCCTCTACCTGGTACCTTCCTACTCTCTCTCTCTCCCTACCTATCTACTGTATTTATCTCTCTCTCCCTCTATCTACCTATCTACTTTTTTTAAAATTTGCCTCTTCAAAGCCTAGGTGTGTCTTATACACTGAAAAATACGGTACTCTTAATCTAAAAAGTATTTTTATTATTATTCAGGTATCATTTTAGAAGGCTTGTTGAAGAATCGATCTGCCTTCTGCAGTGACAAACTTGATGAATACTTAGAAAATGAAGGAAAGTTGATGGAAACAAGCATTGGATTTTCTCCTAGCACATCTAGTTCTCCTGTAGTTTATCAGCTTCCAACTAAAAGCACCAGCTATGTGCGGACATTAGATAGTGTTCTAAAAAAACAATCCACTGCTTCTAGTTTGAATTCTTATACTTCCAAACCTCTGGGCTTACCTTCTGTTTCTAAAAAGAAAAAGGAGAAAATGAAGAGTAAAAAGCAAGCAGTCTCAAAAGGCAAAGAAAAATCTCCCCCCAAAGGCACAATAGGCTTTTCTGTTGCAAAAAAAGACAAACATAAGCTCATCTTAGAGGAGAAAGTTTCTAAATCTCGGGCAATTGATCAGACAATTACTGAGAAAGATGCTTCGATGATGTCGGGCACAGAGAGAAATCTGCAGAGCAAACAGACTACTGTGCGTCAGGTGCAGCAGCAACAGGGCAGTCGGTTGTCAACTTTATCCAAGACTCAGTTGAAACTGCTGGACCTAGAAGATTGCGCATTGTGGGATGGCAAACCACGGACATATATTACAGAGGAGCGAGCTGAACTGTCTTTGACAATTTTGCTGACTGCTCAGGTAAGTTTAAAGGAAAATATAAATTTTGTCTAATCTGAACAATTTTGTAAGTGATTTCTATAATAATTACCTTGCACTAGAAAACAGAACACGATTCATGTTTTTGATTCTTTTAAAAATCAAAAAGTTTAATGTCAAGAGTTCCCAAAAAGATGATAGGTATCTAAATCCATTACACCAGTAAAGGCAGTCATATTTCAATTATTAGAATCTACAATTGTTTAATTACCTTGATTTTATGTTCCATTTCTCTTGTCAGACTCTAGTCTTTCATTATGTTGGTAATTATTGAAGGTTAACACTGTAGTGAGCAGCTCTGGGATTATTTTGATTTTATTAAAATGTACAGATAGTCCTCGGTTTACGATTACAATTGGGGCCAGAATTTCTGTTGCTAAGCAAAGCATTAAGTAAATCATGTCATTAAGCCCATCTAGCTTCATTGACTTTGCTTGTGAGAAGCCAGCTGGAAAGGTTGCAAATGGCGATCATGTAACCTTAGGATACTGCAACCATCAAAAATACATGCTGGTTGCCAAGCACCCAAATTTTAATCATATGACCGTGGGATGCTGCGTCAGTTGTAAATGTGAGGACCAGTTGTAAGTCACTTTTTTCAGTGCCATTGTAGATTTGAAAACTACTAAATGAATGTAAGTCGTGGACTACCTGTATAGGTTGTTTTTTGATTTAGAAAAAAATCAAGGAAAATGGGCAGCTTTTGAGGTAGCATGCACATTAACCTTGGTTAAATTATTCTTAAATTTTTGTTATGTAAATAAGCTGATTTTAGTATTAATAGTAGGTATTTAGTCTGTTGAAGTAAATATGTCAGTGTTATATTGCTATTTTTCTGCAATAGATTAAACACCACTGCTAGCCTGCTGTATAGAATTCTTTGTCAATAATTCTGTAAGCTATACTATGACATTTGCTTTTCATTTGTGGCTTTGCAAATATTTATCTGAATATATAACAAAGGTATGTATTAACACTTTTCAGGCTTCACTCAAAAACAAACCTATTCACAAAATAATTAAAAAGAAAGCACCAGCGTGCAACAATGATTTTTGTCGGCTTGGGTGTATCTGTTCTAGTTTAGCTGTTGAAAAACGTCAGCCAACACATTGCCGCAAACCAGATTGCATGTTTGGATGTACTTGCCTAAAAAGAAAAGTTGTCTTAGTTAAGCAGAAAAAGATCCAGGAGAAGCCTCTGCATGGGAAGCATAAATTATATCGTGAAAGAAATCAGGAACAACAAACAGATGTAATAGCAAAAAATGAGCAAGAAAAAATGAAACTAAAAGATAAGAAGAAGAAAAAGAAGGTTGAATATAGTAAGTATTGACAAGGCTGTTTAAGCTGTTCAGTAGCTACATCCTTTATTTTTTTCAAAAAGATTGTGATATTTCAGCCCACATACATATTACGGAATTAATGTAGGGTATAATTTTTAAATGCAAAAGCTTTTCAATTATAACCATGTTTATAACTCCCTTTTGTCGCTCTAGAATTTCAGTTCAAGAGATGATTTGGCAGTAAGTGTAGTGGAAAAGTCAAATGTGATTGGTTTTTTTGGTCATAGTAGCTGCATTGAAAACCTGATGATAGGTTTCCAAGAAGAAAGTATAATCAAACAACAACAATGAAACAACAATGTGGAGCAACATTGGGTTAAATTATCCTTTGCCCTTACAGGTTTGGTTTTCATAGTTTTCATAGATAATGTTATTTCTAGATGAAAAAATTACATTCCACAGAAGTTGAATCATTATGGATACTTACAAAAAGCTCAGTGAATTGTGGGTTAAGACCAGGGCAATTCAAAGCTATTTTTTCTCTATTTTTTGTTCTGGTTGTTACTGTTTGTTATAAATGCATTCTTAATTTATATTAACCCTACAAGTTTAGTCAATCTATAAATTGATTTAATAAATTAATAAATAAACAAACAAACAAATAAATAAAAGACTTCCACATCACAGATAGGTATTGGCACAAGATAGAAATGTCACTGGATGTGCATTTAAATAGAAAAGGAGCCTTGAGCCATAACTATTTACAAGATAGTTACAGCAATATCTACTTGCATTTTAGGAGCAGATTGCCTGAAGGCAGATAGTTTAGTTTTGAAGGTCCCAACAAATGGGGGGTTTGAGTTAATCATCCTTTCCTGGGAGTGATCTTCAGAGAACCCTACAAGTAGTAACCAACAGTAATGCCAGCCTATCAGCTGGAATACAAATCAAGCATTTGTGTCAGAGCACATGATCTGGCAGGAGTAATTTGAAAATGCGGGCAGTGTGACAAGGTGTTAGAAGCGGCCATGTTGCTGATGGAAAGGAATCACATTCTGATTTTGGAGTGATATTGTCTTTACAAAAATGTATCAGAATAATCATAGAGAGGGGAAAGAGATAAAGGTGAAAAGAGATATAGTATCTCCCCTGCCTTTGTGGGCAGAAAGACATCTTCTCTCCTAAATGGTGTTTAGAAGACATTTTCTGCCCCAGTAGAGTAGGCATTGCACTCGGAAGTCTTGTAGATAATTAAAGATTTGTGAACAATCCTTGTGGTTTACCTCTGCCACAAGGAAGAACAGAACAGGGATATGACCAGATGGTTCTATCACTTTCATGATGTAAGGAAGTTGGGACTGATGCTTTGTGGCTCCTTGGCTGCATAAACTACTGTAGGTATTCCCTCTATTCTCAATTTTATCAAGAATGTAGCAAAGAAAGCACAAATTATCATTGCTTCCTTTTGAGTCAGGAGATGTTGGTTCTGAACTCTCTTGGAGATTAGCATTGAGCATCTAGCATCTTCTAGAACAGGGGTGTCAAACTATTTCATTGAGGGCCGCATCAGGGTTGTGTTTTATCTCGGGGAGGGGAGGCTGGAATGGGCGTGGCCAGCTTGATATCACTCATGTTGTGGCCACCTGTGGTGGCCTGAGTGCTCTGCCAGAGAAAATGGGCTCCCAAGCTCCATTTTTGGCTGCAATGGCCTCCTGCAATCCTTTGCCAGCAAAAATGAAGCTTGGGAGGACTCTGTTTTTGCTGGCAGAGGCACCATATGCCAGTCCTTCGCTGTTTCCATGTCAGCCCTAGTCGCCAGATCTAAGCACCCTGCAGGCTGGATCTGGTCCCCAGGCCTTGAGTTTGAAAGCCCTGTTTGAGAGTGACCAAACTCTCTTCCCGCATTGAGACCCAGGATGGCTTCATATTAGCACCTCAAATTCATGGAAGCAACAGTTCCCAAAATGTTAATAAAGACCATCCTGGTGGCTAAATGACCAAGCTTGATTCACATTTATAAGCTGATACAGAGACCTTTTCTTTGTTGATGCAAGGGAAAGTTGTCTCCAATAGAAGCAGGACTTGCCCAACTCTTAGGTTTCCTTCAGGTGGACCTGGACAGCAGAGTGAATGACAACCCATTGTGGTGGAAGGAGACTTCTCTTAGATCTATATTTCCCGCTGAACACCTGTTCCTTGTGACTCCTTCTCCTAAATGGATTCTTAAAAGGGACAAATTAATATCTTTTCCTGTTATCAATGGCTGGGATTTGCCTTTTGTCTTGCGAGTCCCAACATTAGCTTCCTTCAGATTCAATAAGAAGATTCCTATTAAAGATTTGTGTACAGCAACTTTATTGTGGCTGTTACCTGATACTGACTTTATATGCTGCTATGAGAACTACATAATTGAACAAAAATATGGCAGGATAGAAAGTTTGTTTCTTTTTCCGCCAGTTCTTCCAATCTTACTGCTATTTTAGAGTGCAGCTTCTAGCATACCATTCAAAGGCCAAATATGATCCTAAACTAAATTTGAAGAAACTTGTCCATCTATTTTTTTCTCATTTTATCCCTCTTTTTCACCCAAACACAAATTGCTTGGGCAATTTCTCTGTAACATATGGTGCTTGGAGTAAACTAGTACTCCATACCAAGTTTTCCTTATGTTTATTTTTCAAGAAGATAGTTTACTCTATATATTTACTTTAGTACAGCAATACCTTTTGAAGTTGAAGAATAAGTATATTGCTATGTTTTTTAAAGTGCGATCCAAGGACTTCTGGGTTCCATTAGAGGTCTGGAAATCTAAATTGATTACTATCAAAATAAAATATTGAAATACTGTCAGAGTCGTGAGAAATGGTAGTGGCAGTAAATGTGTCAATTTTGATTTTTAATATGGTAAACATCGCTAAATATAACCCACACAAACAAAAGTTGTTTTTGAGATCATTCATAATTTTTTAAAAGTGGGAAGGAGCTTGAGAAAAAAAGTTTTAAAAACACTGGTATATTTTAATGCAAAAAAAAAAACTCATACAAAATTTATAAAATTGTTGAATGAAAAGTAATGCCTTCAGTGTGCTGAATTGCCAACAGAATAACAGAGTTGGAAGGGACCTTGGAGATCTAGTCCATCTTCCTGCTCAAGCAGGAAACTATACCATATCAGACAAATGGTTGTCCAACCTTAAAAACCTACAGTGTTGGAACACCACAATTTCTGGAGACAGATT